TTTTCTCTAATTAGGTTTAGGTTAAAACCTCTTTCATATAAAAATCCAAACACAAAAATCATTTCTTTCAATTTGCATTTGTACTTTATATATTTCTCCAATTATTTGTACAATATTCAATTTGGTTGTAATAGATTAATTATATTTATATTATTGCAATCCTCTTTCATAAATTGTATACCCCCCTCCAACAAGTGTTGTAATAGCGTAGTAACTTTAAATTTCACAATTTATCGCTTTTACATAATATGCTAGTAATTAGGGTTTGTATGGAAAGAATAAAATCAATCAAGTAGAAAATCCTAATTCAAGACAAAATTAAGCCTGAAAATAACACACTTGCACACAAGCACCCCTAGGGTTATTCCACTTGGTTTCCTTACAAAATGGCCATATTATGCATGTAAGGTATCTTAGCAAAAAAACAAACAAATATAAGATCATAGTCCCTCGATGACGCTATTCAAAGTTGTCTTACAAATGATTTTAGTCCCTCAAAAAGAACGCTAAGATACCTTGCAACATTGTTAATCATGGCTATACGATGACCCACACCCATCCCGTTTACATCCAAAGATAGGGTTGCTTACCAAATCAATGGTAAGACAACAATGTCAAAAGGAAGAGAAAATGAACAAGAAAGACATTTGAGTAGGTAGATTGCTCCTAATTACTTGCTCCATTTCAAAGAAAAACATCCTTGCTATTTTCAAAGCAAACACACATACTTTCAAACATCTTACAAAATTGAAAATATTTTCAAAAGATCAACATCTGTGTATACATTCTTACGAACGAGAATCATTACAAAGATTGCCTAAACAATGCCCTCTTTACAAAATACTTTCAAAAAATCACACAAAACACAATTTTCAAACAAAAACAAGTGATCTAGCAAGTAACTAAGAGCCCATGGAAAACCATGGATGAAAAGGGTTCTAATATCTTCCCTTTTCATAATCTACCCCCCCGAACTCAAGAAACAATCTCAAAGGTCTTTCATGTGCTTTTTCACCTTTTCTTTTGGATAAAAGAAAAGTCGGTGGCGACTCTTGCTAACCGCAACATTTACGATCAAATGCAAAAACCTCAAGTCAGTTCTTCCACCGCACCACACCTTGGATTAAAGGTCGCTCTATAATCTCCGGTTGAATTCTCGTTCTACCGTTTTTCCTCCTTTTCCAGCAGCTTCACGTTCTTCTTCTCAATCCTTATTCTTCTACTGCCTCTTCTTTCTATTCTTTCTAACAATAATAAAATAACATATTATTCTCTTTACTCCTTATTGGGCTCAAAACTAATACACCCCCTTATTACTTCTATTCCTTTAAAACAAGCCCACATCAAATAAATTATATTTCTAATATTATTTCTCCACTTAATTAAATAAATAAATCCAATTAATCACCACGCATCTTCACAAATATTCCAAAAATAATTTAATTAAATAATTAATTAAATTACAGGCGTTACAAAAGACAATAACTTTTTTAGCACGAGTTCGCCTTCTCTGAATTCACGAGGTCAAACCTTTTTATCAAATGCCTGCTTCATTCTCTTTTGATATAACTAACCATAACACAAGGCCGTCAATATTTTCTCTTCAATTAAATTCAACTGATCAAACCAATTTTGTCACCATTCAGCCTCAGATAACTTGGCTTCCATCAAGACTCACATTGATGGGATCTCAACCTCTATGAGGAGCGTTGTTTCCATGTCATACACAAGACAGAAAGGGGTTTCCCCTGTTTGAAGTATGGACGGATGTATGATACCCATGCAAAGCAAAAGGGAGCATCTTGTGCCCATCCTTATAAGTCACAACCATCTTCAGGAAATCTTCTTAATATTCTTGTTAGCAGTTTCAATAACCTTGTTCATCTTGGGTCTGTAAGGTGAAGACTTGTGATGTTCAATATTGAAACTTTCATAAATCTCTTTCATCATCTTATTGTTCAAATTTGAGTTTCTGTTGATAATGATCTTATTCGGAACACCATATCGATAAATAATCTGATTCTTAATAAATCTGACCACAAGATGCTGCTTCAACCCATTTGGTAGTAATCAATGGCCACTAGAATGAAACAATGTTCGTTCGAAGCTTTGGGATCAATCATACCAATCATATCAATGCCCCACGTAGAGAAAGGCCAAGGAGAAGAAATAACATTGAGAAGAGTTGGAGGTACATGAATCTTATCAGCATAAACCTAACACTTATGGCACTTCCTCACAAATTTACAACTATCAGATTCCATTGTCAGCCAATAATATCATGCTCTTAACATATTTTTAGCCATTTAATTTCATTGGTATGAGTACCACATGACCTTTCATGAACCTATTCCATTAACATGTCTGCTTCGTGTTTATCCACACATCTGAGAAAAACTATGTCAAAGTTTCTCTTGTACAAAACATTTTCATTCAAGAAGAAATTACCAGTCAATCTTTTCAAAGTCTTATTATCTTTATTAGATGCCCCAAGTGGGTACTCTAGACTTTGGAGGAAACACTTGATATCATACTACCATGGATTTTCATCCATCGTTTCTTCTGCTGCAAACACATGAGCAGGTCTATCCAGACGCATAATTCTGATTTTAGGTACCTCATTATGGAAATTCACTTTATACATGGAAGATAAGGTTTCCAGAGCATCTGCCATCTGATTCTCTTCATGAGGTATATGATGAAATTCAACTTTGTTGAAGAAAGGTAACAACTTCCTTGCATAATATTTGTGGGGAATCAAACTAGGATGACGAGTCTCCCATTCACCTTCAATTTGATTAATCACCAGAGCTGAGTGTCCATACACATCAAAGATCTTAATCCTCATATCAATGGCTTTTTCAAGACCCATGATACAAACTTCATACTCCGCCATATTATTCGTGCAATCAAACATCATCATTATGGTGAAAGGGATGTGAGAACCCTGAGGAGTAATAATGATTGTCCAAATTCCATTACCATAAGCATTAACAGCTCCATCAAATATTAAACCCCACCGAGATCTTGGCTCTGGTCCTTCTTTAGGAAACAGTTCATCACAATCTTTGGCTTCGAGATACATAACATCCTCATCAGGGAAGTCAGGCCTGATGGACTGATAATCTTCAATTGGATGGTGAGCCAAATGATCTGCCAAAATACTTCCTTTGATTTTTTTCTGAGTGCGGTACTCAATGTCATATTCAGACAACAACATTTACCAACAAGCAATCATTCCAGTTAAAGCAGGATTTTCAAAAATATACTTGATTGGATCTATTTTGGATATCAACCAAGTGGTATGATTTATCATATATTTCCGTAGACAATTAGTAGCCTAGGCCAAAGCACAACAAGTCTTTTCAAGCATAGAGTACTAAGACTCACAATTAGGGAACCTCTTACTCAAGTAGTAGATGACATGCTCTTTTCTTCCTGTTTCATCTTGCTGTCCCAGGATACAACCCATGGATTCTTCCAACACAATCATATACATAATCAAAGGTCTTCCTTACACTGGAGGAGCCAAGATAGGAGGCTCAAGCAAATACTCTTTGATACTATCAAAAGCCTTCTGGAAATCTTCAATCCAAACACAACCTTGATCTTTGCAAAGCAACTTGAAAATAGGCCCACAAGTGGAAATCAGGTGAGAGATAAACCTGGAAATACAGCTCAAATGCCCAAGGAATCCTCTGACTTGCTTTTCAGTTTTAGGTGCATGCATTTATTGAATAGCTCTAACTTTATCAGGATCTACCTCAATACCTTTCTGGATAACAATGAAACCCAATAACTTCCCAAAACAAACACCAAAAGTACACTTATTCGGATTCAAGCAGAGTCTATACTTTCTCAAATGCTGATACAACTTCAACAAATACTCAACGTGATCCTCCTCAGTCTTTGACTTGGCAATCATATCATCAATATAGACTTCAATTTCTTTATGAGTCATATCATGGAAACGGGTAGTCATAGCCCTCTAGTACGTTGCATCAGCGTTCTTCAAGCTGAAGGACATCACTCTATAACAGAATATTTCCCAAGGGGTGATAAATGTCATTTTTTCCATGTCTTCGGGTGCCATCTTGATCTGACTATATCCATAAAACACATCCATGAAGGAGAAGACATTAAACTTGGTTATATTATCTACCAATATATCAATATGTGGTAATGGGAAGTCATCCTTCGGACTAGCTTTACTCAAATCTCTGTAATCAACAGCATATTCTTACCTTTCCATCCTTCTTCGAGACTGGTACAATATTGGCCACCCATTGAGGATAAACTCATGTAACAAGAAAACCAGCGTTAATTTACTTTTGCACTTCCTCTTTAATCTTGACAGCCATATCATGGTGAGTCCTTCTCAACTTCTGCTTGACCGGTGGGTATTGTGGCATCAAAGGCAATCTATGCTCCACAATATTTGTATCTAAACCTGGCATATCTTGATAAGACCAAATGAACTCATCAACACACTCTTTAAGGAGTTCTATCATTCTGCTCTTGACCACTTGACCGAACAGTGCCTTAATCTTGACCTCTTTCTTGTTTTCTTCGGAACCGAAGTTGACCAATCCTACCGGCTCTTTATAAGGTTGAATGATCATTTCCTCGTGCTCAAGTAACTGAGTGACTTCTTCTATAATTTTAACCAATTCCTCTTCTCCAGCTTCAAATACAGGGAATTCAAAGTTTAGAGAGGGCATAGGGTCATGGCTTTCAATGGATTTATTAATCAATTTGCACAATGATTTATGCTTGATTTTAGAAACAGAAAAATGCGCAAGTTATATGTAGATATTGAAGTTATTTTTTATTGGTATTTTATGTTACCATTTTTTCAGAAAAAGTAAAAAGTAAAAACACACATGGATAACAAAATAAATTTTTATTAATGATCTTAATGATTGAAACAATAGGTAAGCCCACACATAGTTACTTTCACTTTGGACAGAGTGAAAGGATTTTGAAAAAACAAAAACAAATTACTTCGAAACGTGAACAACAATGGGAATATCAACAACAATCCAGTTCTGACTAGTCCCTCCATGTGTCATAAAGTTTGGCCAATCCAGATCTGAATCATCTTTAGTAACTGCGTCAACTTCTGGAGAAGTTGGATGAATGAAGCCTCCACTATGAAAGATCTCTTGAATCGGGCGAAAAATAACCTCATGCTTCACAGTTTTTCCTGACTTGAGAGAAAACCCTAGACCAACAAAGTGCTTGTTCTCTGGGAGATTCATAATATGTCCTCGTCCTTCAATAAGACCATGTTGCACCACTTGTTGCGCATCTTTCAAAGAAGAAATCATCAACAAAAAAAAAGTTTGGAACAGAATTCCAACAACTACCTCAGCATCAATATAACTAAAGGATGAGAGATGACTTATCAACATTGCTTGTTCATCACCTACAATCACAAGCTTACCAAAGTACATTGAAACAAAGATTGGGTTATAACTAAATTAAAAACAAATTCAAACATCCAAAGTACACAATATAAAATCCCAAATACATTAAAAAAAAACTGCATTCTAAATTAAAAACATCTACTCTGCAGGTTCCTTCTTAATCTGAACTAACTTGGGCATTTTTGTGGTTGATGCTTGAGCATCAGATTCTTCAATTGTTGTGGACAACACTTCAACATCACTGAACATCACCTTTCCTTTGATCAACGTGGTTGGAGTACTCTCTTCAATATTATTCTGAATATTTTTAAATTAGAAAAAACTCAAATTTACAATTTGTTTAATTAATTTCTAACATAATAAAGTAGAAGAATGGAAAGAAGGTAAAGTAGAAAAACTTTAGGAATTTCCGTTTCTCTGAACCGTTCGAGTAAAGAGGTGGTGAGGTAATTACACTAATAATAATATTCAAATTACAATTTATTGGAAAGAGAAATAGGATAGGTGGTTCAGTAAAAAGGAAAATAAATTGTATTCAAAATATTGATATTGAATTGATTGATCCTTCCATTTATATAATTGATTTGATATATAATTCATTAATAATTTTATATGGCGGTCTACACTAACCTAATATTTATAAAAAAAAGAAAAGTATTTATTATTTAATATCGTATTTAATTTGAAGATTTGTTATAATGTTGAATGTAAAAAATAATTTTTTTTGGCAATGATTAATAAATGAAAGGTTCAATATATATATATGATTTTGTAATAGTTGTATATTATTGTGTTTTAATATATTAAAGATTAATGAGAACTCTTCAGTATGCAACTATTACAAGACTTGAAATGAGTTTCTTCATCAATAAATTTTGTCAATTTATGGCTCACCCACTAGACAAACACCGGCAGTCAGTCAAATGTATCCTTAGCTATGTGGCTGGTACTATACACCTGCTCTTAACCTCATACCTCTCCCCCATATGGCTATTATGATGTTAATTGGGCACAAGATCCTGATGATCGTCACTCCTTAGGTGAAATTTTCTTTTTTCCTAAATATACACTCATGGTGGTCTAAAAACATTAGTTGTTTGTGCTGGTGTTGAGGCTAATTACTACATAATTTATATGGTTCCAAACCTATCTAGATTAACTGAAAGTCTCATTTCAACCCCCAATTATATAATGTGATAACCAAAGTACAGTTAACATAGTACACAACCCTGTTCTTTATACCCGTACAATACATATGAATAAACAAATTGAAATTGTTCAAATCAACCACCAAACGATAATTTGTGACATTTCCACTTTAATTTTTTTTTTTGTCAATCTAAATATTGGGACACTTAAAGTAGTTTCCTCTCCCTCCCTCTGAAAATAAAAGTCTATCGAATTTGTTGCACACAAATTTTAAAAAAAAAAGTAATGGTTGAATGAAAAAATATTTTAGAAAAAAGATATTTAAAAGTCTTTCAAGATTTATATATTTTGAGACCGAGGGAGTATGTTTTTACAATTGTTTAAGGGGAAAGTTGTAGGAGTTTCATTAACTATCCATTAACACCTAATTAAAAGTGTGTAGTTTGGTGTTATGCAAGTTAGTGTGAGTTAACAATTTCACACAGATTAAAAAATCATAATAAATAAAAGAGAAATAATAAAGACTTTACTAAATTATCTTTATCAATTATTGATGTATTTAAATTAACATTAATGTTAAGTAAGAAAATAATAAAATAAGATTATATATTAGCATTTATTAGAGGGTACAATTATAAGATTAAAAATAAAACTGCTTTAGTATTGTAAAATAACAAGTATTTTAGAACAAATAATTTTTTTAAATGTGACCATTTTTTTAGAGTATTAATGATGTGTTAGATAAACTGTGTCACGCTATCCACTAGCTATACATTTATCTTTAAAAGTGTTTAAAAATCCACAAAAAAATATTTAACTCTAAACTTCCAAGTAGCAAAATATGACATCAATTACCAAAATAAAAAGATTTAGCAAAATATGTTTGTTCTTGTAATCAGATCATGGAATGCCAGATCAATTTTTTATCTTTTTTGCACACATTTTCATATTTCTTCTATGCACTTGACCACCAAAACAACATGAAAAAAAAAAAACATTTTGCACTTTTTTTTCTTGCTTGATCACCAAATCTGTCAGTAGAAAAACAGATTTGTGGCACTTGGCACCAATGAAAGAAAGTTTAGGCAGCTAAGGAAAAAAAAAACACAGGTGTAAGTACATACCAAAGTAAAAGCTACCAGAATTTAGACTGTTCATAGCTAGCAAATAATATTACACAGCTAAAATGAAAAAATTACTATTTGATCTAATAACAATTTGTGCATCTCAAGGGCTCAAATAAGGAGCAAAATAGAATTATGAATTTGTGTAGTAATGACCTGCTAACATTCGAGCCCACAAAATGAGCATGTTTAAAGGACCGTCCACATTTCTTATGAGCATAAATCCTAATTGGGTTGTGCGAGTCACCTCCTACCACCACGAGATCCAGATCCACTTCTTGGACCGGGTCCACTACTTCTTGGACCACCTCCACTTCTTGGGCCTGGATACCGAGAAAACTGAAGCCGCAAATAACTAGACTCGGGATTGATTTCATCAACTTTATAGCCTGTGCAGAACCACATTTAGCTAATACCTCAGTAGTATTTTTATGAATGAATAATGATAACCATCTATATGAATAAACCTTTCATTTTCTATTCCTGTTGGCCAAAATAACTTAATAATTAAAGTTCTAAAAGTAATCAAAATGACATTGTTCAGATAAGATAGGTGTTTCAGATGATGTTGATGTCATTGTTCTCGCGGAAAACCCAAAGACCATAGAAAAGGAAACAAAGAGAACAGAGAAGAACAGAACACGAAATTGTTGCAGAAGGAAGGAACGGTGAACTTTGCGTGAAGAAAAAGAAGCAGAAGAAAGAGAGGGCTTCACACGCACACAGAAGACTTAAGAGGGCTTCGCAAGCAGAAACAGGGAAAACACATCGAGAAGAGTAAATGCAGTCACATGAAAAATAAAATAGCAGGTTTTTCCAATAATCAGAATAAAATAACAGGCCACTTCAAACACATTGAATGACCAATATATACCTTCAATAAATAAACAGAACATTTAAAAAAGAGTGGGCATTTGAGAGATTTCCCTGAGACCCTAATTGTGGATGCAAAAACATTGAGCTGCAAAAAAGATGTGAAAACAGCGCAATTTGTGGCTGCGACTGCGCACCTGTTGAATGCATGCAGTCGGCGTTGCCTCCACAATGTGAATCAGTGATCACTTGCTGTAGCGAGGTAATTGACAGCATAGGTAGCTGTATAAAAATGATAATCGCCAAAAAAGAAACTATAGAGAAATAATACCTTGCAAGGCACTCAAAGCAGTTGCTGCACAAGCTGGATTTGCAAAGTCCACAAAACAAAGGATCAAAGGATCTCCACGCTGCAAGAAACAGGCAGTTCAGCATAAAGGGGACATTTTAGCTATAATACAAGCAGCCATCTGTTACAAACCATACTCTTACATGTTTGGCCTCTTTGCTGACAAGTCTCACTTCTCTGTATCCAACAAAAGGGCGGAAAATATCTAAAGACAATGTTAAGGAATATATTATATATGTATAACAGAATTAAAATAAATATCAAGAGTCATAATAGATGAAAGCAAGATGATAAAATTCAGAAGCTTTGCATCATAACAAAAAGGATACGAGCCACTTCTCTTCTTGTACAATCAGAAGGTAGACCTTCAATATATAACGTAGGGGAAGCATCTGGGGGTAGGAGTGCTGTCTCCGGTCCAGGCCTTGAAATTGAATCCACAGGTGGCTGAAACCCATAATTGATACCCCGTCCATTCGGTGGAAAATCAGGACCACCACCCCCATGACGCCCCATGAGAGCGGGATCACCTAGTGAATGGTTCGGTAATCCACCAACACCCCTTTGCAACCCAAGAGCACCAATTGTACTGGCTTCCCCAGCAGAAGTAAATGAAGAAAGTTGCTTCAAAACCAAAACAAGATGCATGTTTTCAGGCAATGAAACAACCAGTGAAAATGCCCAAAATAATAAATAGTAAGTTAATTTAGCAAGCATAAAAGGGTGAAATGTTACCCCACTCTGAAGGTAGCGATCATACGCAGATCCAATCGTTTTTGTGTCCTTTACCATTGGGTAACCAGAACGGTCCTCTTCGCGAGCAAGATAATTATGCATCTCACTTCCAGGAGGCAGACCAGTAGTTGGCATTTCTGTAATGTAAAAGATAAAAGTAATGATAATTATCATCTCTAACAATTTAAGGAAAAAATCTCCATATCTAATAAATAATATATCATTCATATTCATACACTTCTAAACATCAAATATAATAGAAAAGTGGGCTTGTTACATTAATAAAATTAACTACTCAGTCCAATGCCAATCTACCCCCAAGAAAAATAACAACAAATCACCTTTACTATTATTTTAGAAGATAAAAATTATTAGAGAAAATGAACGATATAACTAGGACCAAGGTAGTCAAGCACGAGATCTTAAGTAGGATCGAACAGCCTGTGAAAGATCGTAAAACTAGGATCGTGGCACGGTACGTAAGATCCTACGAAAGGGCAAAATGGTAATTTCATATACACTTGAAGCCATTACAAAGGGGAGAAAATGGTGTTACGAAAAATGATGGGAGAAGAATGTGTACAGTAATAGGGAGATGATGAACACGAATATTGATGGTAGAGTGAGAACTGGCTGTCACCGTTGCCGTGGAGAAGATTAACAGAGGGGCAAGAGAGGAAAACAGAATGGTGATGGGAAGATGAAACTTGAAAGTTGCAGAGCTACCAGCACCTAACGTGAAAGATGCAGCCGATTCTGTTTTAGGGTTTAGGAGGGAGAACCTAATTGAAATAATAACCGGGTTTTCACTTAAGAAAACCAACCCGGTTAGACAGCCCAAGAAAACAGGCCCAACACTATTTTTTTATGATCTTGTTCTAGAAAGCCTGATCTTGACCACGCCGTGCACGAAAAAAGATCTTTCTCTGATTGTAGCACTAAAAGGCAATCTCAGCACGTAAGATCTTAAGATCCAGCACTCGACCTTGACTACACTGACCAGGACACAATATATGCTGAAAATCAAAATAAAACAGGATACAAGGACACAATACCAATATGTCAAATGGTTGATTGCATTACATTGCAGACAAAGAGCTGGAAGTTGTATAGTAATTAAAATAAATCAGTTACATATATACAAAAAGCATTGGATCTATATACAAATAAAAAAAATAAAAAGATAAGGCATATATAAATATGTTTCAGCATTAGATCAGTTGTACAACTTTAATTGTTCTAAAGAAAACACCGAGAACATAAACAAAAACTCTATTCATTTATCCTCAACCTCTTCCCCAATATACAGTGTACGTAGGATCGGTGATAACCGCGTAGGATCGTCCAATCTTACAATCTAAACCCCTTTTCCATGTGGCAATGTGAGTGGGATCAGGGTGAGTGTGAGATGAGAAGCAATAGGATCGCAGAAGATCGTTAGGAATTGACTCCAACATGGGCTGGGTTTTGTCAAAAAAAAAAACTCTAATTCTTTGATTAAAATGGATCCGGATCAAATTTTGATAAGCCCAAGGTTTTTGATGCTAAAAAAATATTGAAATTTTTCTTCTTCCTCACAAGTCGAGTGTTGAGGCAAAATGCAAAATCTATTCCTTTCTTCTCTCAGAATCTCTTCTCTTCATTCCTCTGTTTCTTGCAAGTTGGGTGTGGTTCCTCTCATTCTTGCGAGGTTGCGAATTCATCCCCTAACCTCTTGTGTTAATGGATTCATTTTTGCGGGGAACCAATTTTGAACTTAGCTGTTTGAGTTAATTATGAATTTATGGTTATGATTTTGTGGATGGATGGATATCATTTCTTCATCTGTCATAATTTCTATGCATGTGTGTGTTTGTGTATCTTTTTCCCTAGTATTAGGATCTTATGATTTGTGCTACGATTCTTTGTCTGATACACTTTCTAGGCTCTCATGCATGCATCCCTATATATAGCTTCCAATTAAGAGCAGCAAAACTTTCATTCCCATGGACCTTGCCGTTTCCAGCATCTCATCACTAATTATCCTCCCAACTAGCAACTTGTTTCAGTCACCAATATAACTGAGTGAGATTGGGTTAATTTCAGAGCCAAAACTGTATGTTCTAAGCAGTTATACATTGTATTTGACTCCCCAACTAAACTGTGTACTCTTTTTATGTTTCTTATACTTGTGCGGCGGATTGCCAGTTTCTATGCAACTGGGGCTGGTAGCAAGATATGAAGAGTACAGCACTAGTAAAAAAAATAAGTAACGTGAGATAACAGTGACCATTCAGTTCTTTAAAAAAACTAAAAAACTACCCTGTTTCTCACAATAGGTATCGCATCCGCTGTACCACTTTACCATTGGTGGTTGCTACACCTGATTTGCAGAATCTACAATGCAATATTAATGGCAGTTTCGTCAAATTCAATAATGCAATTGCATTACAGAGCCACCTTAACCACAATTTAGCAACTATGGCTCCACAAGTATTATGGCAGTTTCCACAGAAAAATTTCTCATTGTTACTGATTCATGCCTAGGTATTAACTAACCTTTTTCCTTATTTAAGATACCAACCTCTGAAACAGACAAAAACAAAAGATATCTGATACAATCAACACTAGCATATTTGATGAAATCCAGAAGTGGACTTAGATTATTGTATGCTTAAAACAATATCTAAAGCTAATGTTTTGTTGGCTATCATGATATCATCATGAACAAGAAGCGTGATCAACTGAGCTAACCATGAAAATCATTGCCTTAACACTAGAAGCATGTCATCCGGTGCTGCGGCAGCAAGGGATTATGGCATGAAGAAGGAAGTCTTATTTGGTATTGGTGATAACTGCGTGAGTATTTTGTTCCTTTACATATATTCACTCGGAACAAAACCAATATAAGCCATTCGTTGAAGAATTGGATCCTTGTCCTAAATCCCATGATAAAGCTTATAAATAGGAAAAACACCAAGGTTCAAAAGTTTTACGAACTCTTTCTTCAAGAGTAGTTAGAAATTGGAATGAGGTAAGCAATAACCTCATCAAAGTAAAGTTGAGAAGAAACCCATTAAGGAAACCATGGGATAAACACGGATTCTATTTTCATCAGTACCCAAATATAGTCCTTGCACTGTAAAATGATTATAGACACATAAGCCTAATCCCTAGCAACTACATGCACATTACCAAGTTTCTTTCTATGAGGCTCTAGTGTTATCAAATAGTGGTGCCATGGCCGCTATGGCGGATATACATGGTAGTTTTTGGGCTCGCCGCAATGGTAAATATCGGTCACTATTGCGGGTGTTTCCGCCATAATCCGCTATAAAATGGAAGGATTTTGGCTCTCTGCCATGGACTGCCATCTGCCATCGACAAAACTGAGTTATGTTCGGTGAGAAAAGATCTGAGAAGCTAGGTGCTGTTGCAGAAAGACAATTTGTGGTTGACGAACTAATGGTTTTGTTTTTAAGATAGATTTAGAAAAAAGCATGTAACGGATTGACATTGAAAAGGTTTAGTTTACTGATACCCATTGAAAAAATGCAACTTTAAGGTTGACACTACTGTCACCCAGTCACTGTTGCATCTACGAGAAAATCACACCTTTGACATGACAACAATATGTTAGACCCCTCATAAAGAATACTTATAAGAGGAAGGAGCACCAATAAAGCAAGATAAATGCTGTCAAGTAATAGCAGCAGATAAGCAGTCATGTTAATGGCATCTGTAGCAGTTACAGATTTCTAAAGGCAGCAATTATTATTACTAGAGTAACAATTAATATTAGGAACAGTTACAAAACCTAGGCGGAATAAAAGGGGAAACAGAACTGTGTTCTGATCATCCTAAAGTTGTGAGTGTTAGGCACTGGGGAGGGAGAGAACCAAGCTCTCGAATCTTGGTGTGTGTCATAATATTCTGCACTATTTTCTATTACTATTGTAAGCATATTATTCTGGTCCTTTGATTGTCCACCAAAATTATCATCAATAAAGTATCCCTATTCTCCAAATTATTTCTGTTCAGTGCCAGTTTCTATCAACTGGTATCAGAGCAGTTTCCTTCCGGGACTGCTTTATGGTATCTACGCGAGGGGAAATGGAGGCCAGATTGGAAACTCTCGAACGTGGATTGGAAGGGTTGTTAGCCATGCAGGAAAAGGTGGAGAAAATCCTTGAAGATGATCGCAAGGAAAGAGTTGAAACTAGCCAGCAAGTAGCAGAATTAACCGCCCTGATGCGTCGCAAACTGCGAACAACACCGGGGAGTCCGAACGACAGTGATGACGAAACTTCTGTACACACTAATCATCCTCGAAAACGCGAAGAACGATGGAGGAAATTGGAGATACCTGTTTTTGAAGGCACTGATGCCTATGGTTGGTTGAACAGGGTGGAACGTTACTTTGACTTAAAGAAGATGAGTGACGGTGAGAAATTACAAGCTGTGATGGTGGCTATGGAAGGCAAGGCACTAGCATGGTATCAATGGTGGGAATTCTCAACGCAAAATCCTACTTGGGAAGATTTTAGGACTGCCATACTAAGAAGGTTCCAGCCAGCAATGATTCAAAGTCCTTTTGAATTATTGTTGAGTCTCAAACAAACAGGGACTGTGGAGGAATACCGAGAACAATTTGAATTGTATGCTGGCCAGCTAAAATGCACAGAGCAATCCTATTTGAAAGGTATTTTTTTGAATGGACTTAAAGAAATTATTAGAGCAGAATTGAAATTGCATCCAGTTGAGACATTGTCTGAATTAACGGACTATGCTCAGAGTGTAGATGAAAAAAATAATTTGCTAAACAAGAGTAATGGTGGAACAAGTTCTGGGAGTAAATCTGGTTTCAGGACCTATAATAGCACAAAAACTGTGACATGGGCACCGAATTCTAGGAGTCAAAACCAGGCTGCTTCATCAATTGGTAGCACTACAAGTGACTCTAGAACAAATCTTTCATCTAAAGGGAGAAGTTTTAAGAGGTTAACAGATGCAGAATTGCAAGAGAAGTACAAGAAAGGGTTATGCTATAGGTGTGATGTAAAATTACAAGAAAGGGTTATGCTATAGGTGTGATGTAAAATTTGGACCAGGGCACATCTGTGCAAATAAACAATTAAGGGTGATTGTGGTGGGCG